CAAAACTCCTTCGGGCCACTGTGACCTGTAACTCAATATCTTCGGTTGCAATGCCTAACTTTCCTAGAATTGCCTTTACCCCCTCCACCTTGCCGAATTTGGAAAAGAAGGCCCACATTCTATCTTCACTGATGTCCACTGGCACCCCATGGAGCGTAATCCTTGTCCTACGGGTGCCCATATGTAGTTTGTAGTCGAAGGCACTTAACACATCTGTTTCGCGTCTTGTTCTGTAGAAAGGAAAATGTCCCAAATTGCATTCGTCCTTCTCGCTAAAACTCTAGGGTTAATTTTTAGAGTCTTTAGGGCCTCTTCCATGGTTTCCCTGCGAACCCCAACCAATTTGCGACTTTTCACGTCGGAGGTCAGTAGGGATGCTATTCTGGAATTCACAGCTTCGAATGATTCGGGGATGGTAAGGAATCCATTATCCTTAAAAGATTCCTCGAATTTCGTTCTTTGTGATGCCTAATAATCCGTATCCTTTTTTACTGGACTATTGTTACACCAGGCCGTTTTATCTGGTGACACCGGCGGTGGTATATTTGAATTATCTTCCGCCATGAATGGCCACCACGGACGGATAAATAAACGGTTTCTTTTTTCTTTTTAATTTTTTTTTTCAAACAAAAACGAAAAGCAAAACGGTCAAGTACAAACAAAATAAAACGAAAACAAGACCTTGTGAAGACCAAAGACAATAAGCAATTAAAATAAATACGGAAAAGGTAATGAAAAATACAAACGTGGGTAGGGCCGAAATACAAGAAAAACAAACAATAAAAGAAAAGAAAAAAGTACCCAAATAAATATGCACGAAACTTAAAAAGGAAAAATTTAAAAAAAAAGGTTTCAGAAAACAAAGTCAAAAAATTAGCATAACAGTTCACTTTTTTTAATCGCAAATGCAAACTCAAGCTAGTCCAAAAACACAGTCAACACCGTCTTGTGTCACCTGGTAGTAATTTTCTAAGCGCTGCTTAGATGTGGCACAAGGCCGGAAGTATGGAGCACCCAGTGAGAATCGAACTCACTACTCAGTCGTAATTGTTCGTAATTGTTCTAGCGAGAGAAGTCTCCTTAGAGATTTTTCAAGACAACCATTACACCACACCGAGGGCACCTGGCGAGAATCGATCTCACTGTCAGTGTCTCCTGGTAGAGATTTCGATCTCACTTTCTCAGTCGTAATTGTTCTAGCTTGCTAAGACAAGCTTACTAACCATTACACACAAATTGAGGTGCCCTTGCTGGTAGAGATTTTTTCAGATGTCAGATGCACAAGGCCGAAAGAATGAGGCACCTAGCGAGAATCGATCTCACTACTCAGTCGTAATTGTTCTAGCTTGCTAAGACAAGCTTGCTAACCATTACACCACACCGAGGTGCCCCTTGTGTCTCCTGGTAGAGATTTTTCAAGGGTAGCTCAGATGTGGCACAAGGCCGAAAGAATGAGGCACCTAGCGAGAATCGATCTCACTACTCAGTCGTAATTGTTCTAGCTTGCTAACCATTAAGACAAGTCTCCTGAGATTTTAAGGCCGAAAGAATTACACCACACCAGAGGTGCCTTGTGTCTCCTGGTAAAGGCAGGCCAGCTAATTCTACCTAATTTATAAGAGAGTACCTAATACTCCAGGTGGGTTAGTCCACTTTACTCGAATAGATCTGCCCAAAACATTTGCATGAGTAGACTCTATTTACCTATATATCTCTCCATTAAATCACTCAGGGCTGTTTGTTTTTTCAACTTGAAATGACTACACCAGTCTACCTGTGTGTCAGACCACCTGCAAGTTAAGCAATATTCTACAGGTTTAACCCCCTTAGTAAATTCCCGATAGGAATTGGACTTCGTGGTGACACAGGAGCAATGACAAAACAAATCACATGGCAAATTGAAATAAAAATTGCATTAAAAAAAGAAAAAATATTTTTTTTAAAAATGACGTACCCCTAGTAGCAATGAAATAAAAAACAGAATTATAGGCAGTTACCGTGAGAGCAACTTTTCAGAAACCAGTCAGTATATGACCACATAAACCAAGACTAGCGGAAAGATCTGAAATAGCAGTTGCCCAAAATCTTCATTATCTTTGAGGAATTCAATGGCCACAATACCATCAGAGAAGCCAAAGAGATAAACAAATAAGGGAAAATTATGAAAAAAAAATCAATTATGGATAATGAGAAATGTCTGCTCAAAAAGGGAGCACCGACACACATGAACCAAGCAATATGAAGCCTGTCAGCAGTTGATATAGGCGTGTGTTATCCAGAAATTTTCCTAGACTTAACCTGTAGTGTGTACAGTGATTCATACGGAAGGTGATCGGTGAACAGCAAAGATGGTGGCTAAGAACGACTGCAGGAAATTCGGAAATTGATGTCGAAACAAATTAATTCAAAGTAAAATAGAAACAACAGAAAATATATATATATATGTATGTTTGTACGTATATATGTGTATATATGTACGTATACATATGTGTGTGTGTGTATATATATATATTTAAAAAGGTTCAAAGCTGACCAGAGCACACTACCGCGGTTACGACCTCTACGGTCTCCTCAGGTGGTTTGTTCAGCAAATCAACTACACAGAGCTCAACAACTTAAGAACTTTCGAAACCGGAAGTAGTGGGGGAAACAACTTTAAACGGCTCGAAATAACCCCAAGCTGAACTTCTCCAAATATCTGCATTTGGGTCATGACCTCTGACCTCCTGTTCAGCAATTCATTGCTGTTTTTATATGTTGCTATTGCCAGTTTCACTTTTTAGTATAGCCTATACGTATTTTTTTTTTTTATTTTAGTCTTTAAATTTCTTAAAATTCTCCATTTAATGCTTGACTTTTGTTATGTTTCTCCCTAAATTTCCAATAATATCTTGCTAGCTTCGTGTTGTACCTATGCTCCGGAATTCTAAAAGATGAGGTGTGATTGTCCCACCTCCTTTTGAACTGGCCCTCAGTACACCCGTTGTATTTTTTTGTGCTACTATTTTCACCTTCCACCTCGGCACAATACACAAACCGTTCAGTACGGCATAATCTATTTAAAGGACACTTATTTTTTGCCCTGCAATTGCATAAGGTCGTATTCTCGCCTTTCATGTCATTGTGTAGCTTTAAATTTCTGCTATTCATTGTTTTTATGATGTTGCCCATACTGCTTGTGGAGCTATAATTTAATTTGACAGTATTTCGGTTAAATAGCTTATGTAGTTCGGACGTATTAGGGAAGTGCTTATCTAATATATTGAAAAACATCTTCCCTATGTTTGTTATTACGTTAGTGTTGAAAGACGGGTTGAACCAGATTATATTTCTCTTTCTTTTCTTATTAATAATATTATCATTTTTCGGGCTCGTCTGTTCTTTGAATTGCAGGTTAGCGTTATGTCCTTTTTCTCTTAATGTCGATACGTATATCTCCTTTTTTTTTTTTCGTTAAATATATTTTCAGTAGAAAAATTTTGCGACAGCCTACATTGCACTCCTTACGGGATTTGTTAACTTATTCTCATTGGTTGGTTAGACGCCATATTGATATATCTTCGAGTCGCATTCGGTTTCATAAAAAGTAAGATGTTTCCGTTTGACAGGTTTAGCTCTGTGTCCAGAAACTGGACGACATTTTTGTTGGTTTCTACAGTAATATTGAATTTCAGGTCTTTTAATATTTTATGTAGTTTTTTCCTGATTGAATCACAGTTTCTTTTATTTTCCATTACCACCATCAGTCCATCATCTATATATAACCTGTGATCATCAATATGGACGATCTTATTTAATATGATGATCCCAACAATTTCAGCCACTTACGCTCCGTCAAACGATCGTTGTGGACCATCAAAATTACACGTATCAGATTTTTAACCCATGCCTCAACTCCATGAAATATTATACACTTACGGCAATGCAAGATTAATCTAATGTGATTACGGTTTAAACATACAAAGCATTTTGCAAACATCATTGCATCTAATAAAGTATTTTCTGTGATAGACGAATAAAAATCCTTAATGTCATATTTAATGAATACTTTTCTTTTTTTGTTCTAGATTTTCCTTAACCACGAAATGCACTCTTTCGTGTTTTTCCATTGCTTGGCTTTTGTTGCCACCCTTAGCAGATCACAAGTTTCCATTACGACATTCCAACCACCTGAAGAAGGCCGGAACGTACAACGGCCGAAACGTTGTAATAAATATGGCGACAAAGATGAGGACAATAGTCCGAATAATGTAAATAGTGTACATAATACCTCATCTCAGAAATATAGACAGTTACTGAAATAGTTAAATATCTTTTTAAAACTAAACGTATTAAAAGTACTCAATACAAAGTTGGAAGACTAGACTTGCAGGGCTCTTTAATATTTAGAAAGGATGAAAGCTGACCAGAGCACACTATCGCGGTTTCGACCTCTACGGTCTCCTCTGGTGGTTTGTTCAGCAAATCAACTACACCGAGCCTGACAACTTAAGCACTTTCGGAACAGGAAATAGTGGTCAGCTTGGAGTTATTTCAACCCGGCTAAAGTTTTTTTTTTTTTTTTTCCTACTACTTCCGGGTTTTTTCCCACTACTTCCGGTAATCTTGGGTTTGTCATTTTCATCTTTGTTTTTATCACTCTACAATTGCGGGCTGGCCTAGCAAAACTTAAGAGAATATGTTCTATCCAAACTTTTATCTTCCGACAACAAATTTTTTTCTAATTGTTAATTGTTCAGTTGGTAAATTTTTTTTAAATAAATGAATAAAACCATGCGTTTTATGTTAACTTTATTCTTTGTAAAGCATATGTGTTCCTTAAATGAGAAATGACTGAGATTTCGTTAAAAATGAAAAAATCATAACTTGATCCTAATACTGTCCTGCTACCCGCTTACCAACGGTTTTTTTTTTAACTGTCTCTGTCTCCTTCGATCTTTCCACCGATCCCAGACTGTCGGAATCCCAGATTTATCAGGCTTACGGATACATCACGTTCACGTTAAAACACCGATTCCTGTACGATCACTGAAGTTAAGCAACGTCGAACCTGGTCATTACCTAGTTGGTTGACCGCTTGGGAATACCAGGTGTTGTAAGCTTGGATGTTCGGGGGATGCAATGGATAATGACTCGGAATTGTTAATTGGAGAGCAGAGTTCCAATTCCAGTTGGGTTCGTTATATTCACTTACGCGCAAAATGCCCTTGGGAAAAGTATGAATCCACCTCTTCTCCTCCCCCAGCTATGGGTTAATTACTAAGACTTGTATCACTAAACCATTGTCCTTAAAATATCTTATAATCTAAAAAGAACTGATAATCTAAAAAAACATTTTCTGGCTTTAAATAACCTGCAAAGGGTTGATAAACAGTAGAAAACTAATCAATCCAGCCATAGAGAGAAAGAGAAATGATTTTTATAAATAAATTGTAAAAAGAAAAAAAACACGTGACAATCGATACTGTAGATATTCAGGTTAGTATTTCATTACGTCAAGCCGAGTTCCAGTCGGGTTGATTGTATTCATTTGTTCGCAAATCTCTCCCCAGCTATGGGTTAATTAGTAAGACTTCTATCACTAAATCATTATTATCTAAAAAAAAAAATTCTTACAATGCAAAAATATTTTTCTGGTTTTAAATATTATACAAAAACCATCAATTCCTCAATCAACCAGTTTTTTTTTTTTGTTTCGTTTTTTTTTTTTACATAGCCGCAAGTATGGGGCATCAGACAGTCGTAATGTTCAGCCAAACTAGCTCTCTAACAATTGTCCCACGACGGAGCGCCATGAAAACTATTCACTAAGATTGACTTAGCACAAGGCTACATGTATAGTGCTCTCAGTTAAGCTCGAACTTACTAGTCAGTAGTAACGTCCAAACAGATTAAATCGCAAACGTAGTTTGAAGCCTGCACGAAGTTTGAATCGGTAATGAAAGAATATGCAGGATTTGTTCGTGGGTGTGACGGGAGTTGGGTTTTTATTCCCATATCTGTTGCATAAATCGATTTATGTTTACATCCATATTCCTGACTTTATGTTTCTTGAAACGCAATAAAGGCTGATGGTTTCTTTCAGTGTCATTTTTCGCTGTTGCTGACTAAAACGTTTCTTCAAAGGATTTGTTAAGTGGGCAAAAAAAAAAGCCTCATGACTTGTCTTTTCTAATCTTGTTTCCAGCAACATTAAAGTCAGTCATTATGACTAATAATTTTCCCTCAATAGTCACTAGAGAGTAGTTGTTTTTGTTTTTTTTTTAAAAAAAAAAAAAAAGGTTTCCGCGAGGCTTTACTAAAGAGTCTGAAAATGTTGCGGTTACCCTCGTAAAAGAAATGGCAGATATATCAACAGAGTTTGAAATTCACAAACCATTGCGCTCGTCTCTCTTGGATCAAAAGGAAGGACCATTGAAACCATTGAGTGATTTCCGCTTTGCTAATTGTATCGTGGACGCTGCGGGAGTGCGGTCAGATGAGCATTTATGGTGAGGTCATATTTCTGTAGATTGGGGTAAAACGTTATACGCTTTGCTCCTTGGCTGGAACGGCGGGAGGGGGGGGTCTGAGGGTTATGACACAGAACTTGTCAGGAACCACGGTAAAACCATGGGAAGCAGTTACAATAAATGCAAATAAGTCAATTAAGGTATGAAATCACAAACAAGTCTGTAATTTCTGATCATGATTGAAATTAACATGATGGCCTGGCATGTCTCTTTACTTATCTGATCATGAAGTTATTACTGGAAGAACATCGATTTTTAATTCTTGCGAAAGCAAATAACAGATGAAGTGATTTGGATTAATAGGAAGATAGATTACTAACCGATTTATCCGTTAGGTCGCATTTTCCTCTAATTATCATCAACATATATATATATATATATATATATATATATGTTTTGTTTGTGTGTAAGTATCACAGTGGCCACAAATACTAGGCAGAATTGGTGATCCATACATAAATAAGGTTGTCATTTTTAGGGGTTCTTGCTAGTTTGATTACAGTTTTTATTTCAGTATCTGTCTATATTTCTGAGATGAGGTATTATGTACACTATTTACATTATTCGGACTATTGTCCTCATCTTTGTCGCCATATTTATTACAACGTTTCGGCCGTTGTAAGCTCCGGCCTTCTTTAGGTGATTAGAATGTTGAACTGAGCCCTTTCTTTCCCTCACTGGGGCAGACTGTTCTAGTTCCACGTGCCTTGTTTAATGGATGCCTGTTATCAGTTATCTCCTGCTAATTTCCCTCTGAAAGTTCTCCACTGCCTTAACCGGGTATTGAACTCACACTCTTTGGTTCCTGTTACTGGATCTATCCAACGCCTTTATCCACTGTGCCATGTGTCCTTGAGGAGTTTTTATTTTACTTTTGTTTTTGGTGGGGGTTTTCGGTTTGTTTGTTTTGTTTTTGTTTTTGCTTTTTTAGTTTACTTACGAATTTATCTGTTGTTTATTCGCGCACACCACAACCAAAAGACTGAATTTTGATCAAAGAGGGCGCTACCTTTATCTCTAAAAAGGAAACCTGTGTGGGTGCGAACGAGTGAGTAACATTTCACAGAGTGCACAGATACTCCATCCTTATCTATGCGTAAATAACCCCGTCATTTTTCTGGGTACTACGGTAGTTTTATTATAGTTTACTGTGAGAAGCTTTACAGTGGGTGCGGAGTATATTTTTTCTGTTGTTGTTTGCACACAGAAAATGTAACAAAAGTCTGAATGTACAAGATGTACGTAAAAGTTTCTTGCATTTTTAGTTAAAAAAACAGATTTCTATTGTGTTGTGGATTCCGGGTTGAAATCCGGTACCAATAAATAACAAACTTCCGGGGAGGGTGAAAATCTTTTTTCATTATTATAGAATTTTTGTTTTCTTTCCGGGGAGGGTGAAAAACGTAAACTTTTGTTTAACTTACGTATATGTGATACTCCTGACTCCTCAATATCCTTCGAGTCTTTCTTTATGCTCAGGCATTTTGGCAGTCTTCCGATAGTTTTTGTAGTGTTAATCCAGGTTCATTTTGCATTTTTGGAAGCATTTTTTGCGCATTTTAGCTATCCTTTGCCGAGACTAACTCTTGTACAAAAATAAGACACTTGAAATTGTTCGGGGTTAATTCTGCTAACTTGAAATCGTCTCAATGTTTATTCACGATTGCGGCGAACGTACAATCGTCCTCATTTTCATCTTTTACGAGGTTAAGACATTTCCACCTTTTGTGAAAGAGTGAGGTTTTCGGGCTGAAAAGCTCCGTCAGGCATGTAACTGCTTCATCAAACGTTAGATCATTTTCTTCTTTGGCAAAATGTAATCCACGAATTTTGTGTATTCTTCCGTTCCTAATTTTCTGAGTAATTGTTGTAGCTTTTTTGCTTCTGTCCAGTTTTGACAATCGATGTTGAAGATGTCTTCATGACGTCTGAAAAAGTCCCCGAAATTTTTATCCTCTTCTAGGGAATATTTGAATGTTTCTATCGTGTTCCATACTACGTCTTGAGAAGAAGTCGCCTCTTTTTCAATATTTTGTTGTTGTGTATTACTCGCTACTTTTACAATTAGCTCCTGGAGTTGTAATTGTCTTTCTTCATTTTGCATTTGTCTTTCATGATTTTCCTTCTGCGTTTGTAGTAATATTTTTTCCATTCTTTCTTGGAATTGTAATTGCTGTTCATTTTGGTGTTTAACAAGTTCTACTAAAATACTTTTAAAATCCTCCATGGTAAGAGTCTTATGAAAAAACTCGATTTTCCGTATTTTAATCCTCGTAACACTTTGTTACCCAGTTGTTGTGGATACTGGCAAAACGGCAATTTTCTCATTTTGAGTCTCCGAGAAATGCAAATTCTTGTCGCCCAAACTGTTGTGGTGAGAAGGGAGAAAATTTTTCTTTTCGTGCAGGTCCCAATTTCTCGACACCAAGTCGTAGTGATCAGCAAGGGAGAATTTTTCTTTGTACTCTTCCTGTGTGAGCTCGAATTTCCTCGTCGCCAAAGTTGTTGTGGTCAACGAGAGAGAAATTTATTTATTCTTCCGTGTGAGTTCGAAGTCCTCGTCGCCAAGTTGACGAGGGAGGATTTTGTTTGTTTTTTTTCCTTCCCGTGTGGGTTTGGTATCCTCGTCCCCAAGTTGTTGTCGACGAGGGAGGATTTTGTTGTTTGTTCTTCCCGTGTGAGTTCGAAGTCCTCGTCGTCAAGTTGTTGTGGATTCCGGATTGAAATCCGGTACCAATAAATGACAAACACCAGGAATAAATATATGAAAATAACGTATTAACGTAATAATACAAACTGGTAAAGCAGGTTAGTAGTTCCAGGAATACGGGTTAGTAGCAAAATATATCTATACAGTCTTTGGTATTGAAGTATCGCTGTATGACTTCTTACTGTGACTCTTACAACGCTGTTACCTCGCCCTCACTCTTCCGGTTACCTACAACCTTTTACTCTATCACTCTGGACTCGACTCGACTCGACTCGACTCTCGGGTATTCACTGGCAGTGGTATAAGTATAAACTGGGTGAGTCCATTTGTATAAAAAGAAGTGGACCCCTCAACATATTTTGTTTTGTTTTTTGTTTTATTCATGGTCTTTTTTTAAGAATAATTCTTGAAATTCTACACAACCCTGATATTCACATTTATATATTATAGTATTATGTAATGAGTCTACATACAAGTATTGGTAATCTACCTGTTCTGAGTATAACGATAAACTACATCCAACAGAAAGGTCTCTGATCGGGAGGCTTTGAGGAGTGTGGAACCACATCTTAATAGCTTTTGTTCCCAGGTTCACCCTGACCCAGGATGGTAGCACCTGTTAGGGTCCCAGCTATGGGCAATTACTGAATTCTCAAACTAGGGTCAAAACATCAAAATATAAAACTATATGAGAAAAATTACCAGCAATACATTTTCATAGTAAAATATAAAAAAATTCCCAACAATACGTTTAAAAAAAATACCAAAATTCACAAGAAAATAAAATGTCGGCGATAAATGAGTTCATAATAAACCAAGCCAAATAAGCATTACCTAATCAAATATCTCAAATCTAAATATATGACCCGGGAGATAGT